TGCCGCTCCCTCGCGTCCCGCCGCGGGAGCTGAGGCGGCCCCGGCCGGCCGGGCCTTTCATGTCCCTGAAGTGAGGCGTCGCCCGCTCCCTCCCCCGTGCCTCGTCACCGCAGACAAGGCCCCAGACTGCCCCCCTCGGCAGCCCGCTCTGCGCTTGGGGCCGCCCCGGGCCGCAGCGGCTCCGCCGGGGGGTATCAGCGTCCAGAACTGAGGTATCGGACACCCCACCTCAGCGGGTATCCCCCACGGCGGGTCTCATCTCAGTGGGGTCTCCCCCCCAAGTGAATATCCCCTCAGCGGGCCCCCCCATGGTGGTTCCCTCAGCTCAGCGGGTCCGTCCCCTCAGCAGGTGTCCCCTCAGGGCGTCTCCCCCTTCAGCACTGCCCCATGGCGGGTGTCCCCTCAGCAGGTCTCCTCGGAGAGTCTCTCCCCCGCAGTGGGCACCCCCTCAGGAGGGCTTGTCCCACAGCAAGGTGCTTCTCCCCACAACCGCCCCACGGGAGGGTTAGAGGGCCATGGCATGCAGCCTCCTTTCCCGCAGGCCCGGGCAGTGCTCTGTTGTGGAGATATGTAGAAAAGTGTGATATTGCGACGTGGAGCACCCACACGTGTGTCTGCAGTGGGTGAGGAGTCTGGTTTTTAAATGGGGGGTGGTTTTTCCTGTCAGAGCTGTGGCTGTAAAAGGGGTGTATTTGATGCAGAACTTGACACATGAAGCATAAACCCGTGTTTTTTATAGAAACATAGCCTGCTCCAGAGGTAGTAAAATCTACAGAAGTGTGTTTGTTGGCTGTTTGTTTATCATGTATGGTTACATGGAGATACTGCTGTCTGAGGAGTTCAAGCATCCCACTGCAAAGATTACGATTTTATTTCTGTAGTATCTGTATGGAGACTCAGGTGTGATGAAGGAAATAAACTGGGTCCTGAAAATGACAGAGGTCCAAGATGGGGGGGGGTGTGGTGTGGATGGGGGGCGGATGGACACGCAGTGGGACACCCCAAACCAGGAATTATTACTATTAAGGACATAATCCTGTAAATGCTGTGAACACAACACATGAAATTCAGATGTGAATGATCCCACTGCAATCAAATATACTCTTCTGTAAAGCCCGGTTTTGCTGAAGTAAGTGTGAGTTTTGCCTCTGGATTCATAGCAGCCACCTTATTGCCGAACATGTATGAGGGTTGATCTAAGGGGTAATAAGACAAGAAGAAAAACAGTTTCTGCATCAAAGGACTAACCAAACTCTGCAGAGGCTTCTGCCACTGACTTCAATAGCCTCAAACCCAAATCCATAGAAGCACTTAGAGGAACACTTAGGATACTGAAAAAGGTAACAGAGTTCAATTACATTACAATAAAATCCAAGATAAACTAAAAAACACAAGCCTGCATGCTTAACTAATGTATAACAAAAGCAGCAAAATCCCCTGTCCGATCTGACATTCCTCACTTAACTCTTATGATTATGGTCAGCTTTTGAAGTGTCTGCGATACATTTTATTGAGAAGTTGTAGAGGTTGGTACAACATGTTCTGTTTAGGCACAACAGGATGTGGAAAAGGTGGCTTTCTCTTTTTTTTTGTTTTGTTTTTAATTTCCTGGATTATTTATGTTTTTACTAAACTGAGGGAAAAGCAGAGAGATTTGTAACCTGTATTATTAGAAGAAAACAAGGCATGTATTTTTAAATACTGGGAGCTGGAATAACTCCTTCAAAAGAAGAAACGTGTTTAGTGATTTTTTTTCATGTATTACATAGAATACAGTTCTGCGCTCAGTAATTTCTTAAAGGAGTACAGGAATTTGTACACAATTTGTGTCACAGACCATAATGTGTTACAGAATTAATTTTCTGCTCTGCTTTGTTTCTGTTCATGCAGTTCCCCCAGGTTTATTCTTTGATTAAAGCTTGTATTGTCTGCCTTGGGAACTGAAATGGTTACTGCCAAACTGCTCTGCCTTTCAGTTTACAGAAGAATTAGCAGCATTTATACCCAGTTTGCTAAAATTGACCTTGCAGACCCCTTCCCATACACTGTAGAAGAGTATGTTTAGCAAGGTAGTAAAAATATTGATGGCATTTATTTTAAAAATAATTACTATTCATGGAGAGCAGCCACATTTGATGTCTGACTATAAAATCAAAGGAAGAGCAGGACTAGAGACAAAGCAGTAAATGAATTAGAAAAGAGTAAGATAAATGCAATGAGCAAATCTAGATACTGCATATCCTCTGCCTGGGGCAATTCCATTTGGTAAAGAAAAGATCAAGACAGCTGAAAAAAATTTGGAGTAGTAATGGTCATGAATGAAAAATCAGACGTGAAGAATATCTGAGGATAAAGAAACAACACAGCCTTGAGCTTTAATAAAGAATATTTCTGCTTCTTTAGCACTTCCCACCTCAGGATCTCTAAGCAGTTTTATGTACACTAATGAATTAGGACTCACAACCAAAGTCTCTGTGCATTTCCTTTTTCCCAGACAGTCTCTTTTTCCACTAAGAGATGTTGTTTGATGGCTTTCTGTATTTGTTTGGGATTTTGGATGCATAGCAGCCCTGCTGGAGCAGTAGCTCTGATCAGGCTTCTGTATATCCAGACACCAGACATGTCCACCGTGCAGGCACGAGGAGCTCTTCTGCCTTTTGTTGCGTGGCGACCATCTGTGCTGCACATGCAAGAATGTCTGAGGTTTCCCGGCAGATAAATAGGGCAACCTCCTTTGTGAGGGGGTGAATAAACAAATTTTCTTAAGGGGAGCAGAGGATCATTTATTGTTTTTTTTTTATTTGATTGTTTTTACTTCAACTAGTATTATTATTATCTTTTATAGTACCGCTTCCAGGCCTCAGACTCTGTTTGTGCTGGATACTGTGTTAAGAAGTGGGTAACAAACCAGAGTCCTTGACCTGAGGAATTTCACTGCTCTCTTGTGTGGAAAGATTTCTAATGGAAGGCAACATGAATGAGGCAACAGAATTTCAGTCAATGTATAGAAGTATGTATATATTTTTGTGGCAGGCTTAGAATTGGTGGCAGAATGAAGGAAAGGGTCTAAGGATAAAGCTCCAGACTTGCCTAACTGGGTCTTGGGATCAGGTGCCTAAATAAACGATGTGATCTTCTAAAGCAGAAGTACCCACCTTTTCCAGTTAATGTTTATTTTGGTGTCAAAATGTAGATCTGCTGGTTTTAGTAATCCCAGTACGGATTAACAGGTAGGAAGTTCTGGCTCACTTCTGACTCACAGGAGCCCCCGTTTGGAGAGAGTTGCTGTAACTAAGATCTGTAGTCCTTAGGGGAACAAGTTATGGGCAAGCACATGCAAACAAACATCAGAGCTTTGTTGACCCTCATGAATGCAGTTTTACCTTGGTTCTGTCCCATTTGAAAACTGCAGGTACTTATTCTGCCTGAAAAATTACACCTTTCCTTGGCATGGCCTAAGCACAGGTTTGAGTCCTGATTCAAATTATTCACGCTAATACATCTCCAAGTAGTAGATGCTGAATGAGGAATGGGGAAGATGCTGAAAGAGGAAGGGGGAAGGCTTCTTTACTGAGGTAAAGTGGTGCATAATGCAGTCATTCTCCATTTGTAACTTTTTTTTTCCTTGGGATTTGGGCTAGAATTACAGGACTACTGAGTCATTAGGCCTTTAGTATTTGGCCAAGTGTACCAGAAATACCTGTGTAATTCTGTCCCTCAGTATATTACACTCCAATGCAACTTGCCATGTGGCTACTGACTGACACACAATTTTTCTCTCCACAGTGTTTGTATCTTGTGTGTACCTTTTGTGTTGTAGTTTATGCTGTAATTTCATGCCAAGACAGCAGCATTTCCTTCCCAGCTGTTGAACTAAGGGGCACAACACAAGTTAGAATAAGAGTATACCAGTAAAATCCCTTCATGGTCGTTGTCTCTTTTTTTTTTTTTTTTTTTTTTTTTGAGAAACAATTAAGAAAAGGGTGGTAAGTAGTCTGTTATAGCAAGGATTGTCATCTGGTTCATATCATCTGGTTCATAGGCTTGTAGCTGCTAAAGGGTGGTGAGATGCCGAGTTAGCAGAGTCACTTCCTCCTCCGTTTTCACTGATGGGGAAGGAGAAGATAAGAAGGCCATTCAAGTTGCAAAGCATGTTCAGGGTGCTGGAGTCTGTAAGGGAACAAGATCTTAAAGGACTGCTTCACTTACCATGACTTCAAATTCTATCCTAGACCTAGAGCATGACTGGAAGTTTTAAGCTGTGTTTTAAAGTACCTGGGTGTTATGGCTGTATTCAACAAAATGGCCAGTTACTTCAGTAGTTCTCCAGAGTATCTTAAGCTAAGAAGCTCTCAGTCACCAGCGATGTAAGTTATTGTGTGGCTTACAGCTGAAATTCAGAGCTAGTTCTTTCTACTGGATTTGTCTCTTTTGCTGTAGTTAGGTAATAAAAAGGAGGATAACATCATAACTCCTGTCTGGAAAGCATAGACTCAGAACATACCTAAGGAAACAAAAAAGCCAGTTCTAGTCCTACTCAAATAAAAAAGTACTGTCATTTATGATGTACTCTTCTAAGTGTGTGCCTTTTAACTATAGCAGCCTTTTACAGAATTACCTGTGACCGTGGAGGGGGTATGTGTTTATATCTGCATCAGTTAGTATTGGTCAAATATAAAAAAGAGTCACAGCAAAGGTCTATCTAGCCACATATCCTGCCTCTTGATAATGGCTAATAACTTGTGTATGGAAAACAGGGTGAGTATAGAGTGATACTTCCTTTGGTAAACCCGCCCAGCTTCCAGTGGTTTCTGGTTTAGAGACCTTCCTGAGCTGGAGGCTGTAGCTGTATCATTGTTTTTGATACTCCTTGATGGACCTTTTTCCATAAAATTGTCTAATCATTTTTTTTGAAACCCACTTGTATTTTTGGCTGCCATAACATCCCGTGGCAATGAGTTCCACAACATCATTAGGTATTGTGTGAAAATGAACTTCCTTTTGTTCGCTTTTGAACCCACTTGCTGCCTGCCAGTTTGAGTTGGTGCCCTGTGTTCTCTGGTAAGACTACTTTAAAATAATCGTTGCTGTTTACCTTTTTCATGCTGTAACAGCTTGTCAGGAAGTTAATTGTTATTATCCTTGTTTTCCAGGTTGAAAGGCTCTAGCTTGCTTAAGTTTTCCTTATGCTAAGGCTTTCCGACGTCTCTTGTGCAGCTTTGGTTCTTGCCCTTTCTGTAGCTTTGTATTTCCACAGTTACTGTACTGTACTGTGCACAGTACTTCAATACTCAGTATTGAAGAGATGGGTATACTATGGATTTATACAGAGGAATAATGCCATTTTCTGCTTTATTCTTTTGCTTCTAAAAAATCCTAACAGGATGGTTTTTCCCAACTGCTGACACCATGCTGAACTTCAGAGAGCTATCCACTTCCCCAGGATTTCTTTCTGACTGATAATAGCTGATTTAAAGCACAGTGAGAATGGCTTTTTCCTCATATGTTATTTTTCATTTATGAACTTTGAATTAAATTTAGTATTTTAACACCCACTCACTGAATAAATTTTAGGTTTCATTTTTGGGAATGGCTTTGTATCATCAGCCACCTACCTACAGCATTTCCAGATCATATGTAGAATATGAAACAGCAGTAGTCACATCACAGAGCCTGTTCAGAGGCCACGGGGGAGCTCCCTACTTCACTGATGTTGAACATCTATTTCTCTTGCTTATGATCTTTTCACCAGTTATGTCACTTTTTCTTTCTTTCATTCTTGCAGTAAGGCTTGTTTATGAGCTAGATTTCATACAAAGTTAATAGTCTGGCGATTTCCTGTGTGGTAAATGTGGGGATTATCAGTTAATCCTCATATCATTTTGTTATTTTCATCCATGCTGATGCCTTAAATTCATTCTCCTTGCAAAAGGGCCATAGGTTTCTGGATTAAACATAGGTACAAAGATTCATTGAGCCTCCTTGTTATTGCCTAATCACCTGGGACCGTTTTTTACATATCTCAGTCAACTCTTGGTACTGGAGCTGTTCAGACTGAAACACGGATCTGTGCATTGGAACAGAGTTCTGTATTTTTCTGTGGTCAAGTTGCTTTGGGATTTTTGTCCCAGTAGCTGAACTTCTCTGTATCTCTCTTTAAGGATAATGACACTGGTTCTCCCACTGGAGAACTAACACTGAAATATATTAGTGTGTGAGGTGGAGTTAGGAAGTCGGAGCTCAAAGTTACTCTAGAAGTAGGTGATTAGATGGGACATCCTAAAATAAAGAATAGAGGGACAGAAAAGGGAAAAGGGAAAAATAAAATAAATAAAACCCCCTTTTCCTAATGACACTGAAAGGCTACAGGTTTGCTGTTTTTGATGACTGAAGCTTTTCAGTTTAACTGCTAACGGTTCATGTGAGTAGCATTACTCAAGTTCTGTTATATAGTACCGGGTTAATTTGTACAGTATGCTTATAAGGAAACACATTAAAATGTTTAAAAATGTAAATAACTTGATTTACTAATTATTCTGTAATTATTATTTTCTGTATACAAGTTCCTTATATCTTACTAGGTTTGTTCTTTTCTCTAATGAATTAGTTCATTATAAATATAGCATTATTCTCCTGTTGTCAAGAAAGCAGCCAGATACCTTGCAAACTTGACTAGGTAAATGTTAATTGTATGAGAATTCCCTGATCAAACAACTGCCTGCCCTGAAAATCGTGTTGCTTTGTCACTGTATCTCTGCAGAGAGAGGAAATAATTGGTTGTGAAAACCACTGTAAAGGCATATTTTCAATGAGTTCTGCAAGCAGCCAGAATAGGGAGGACATACTCAGAAGAGCACAGTCTTGCTTGCATCTGATAGGCACCTGCTGAAATGTGCATTGACCTCCTTCAGGATGAGAGGTGTTTCCTTTCAGGACAGCTACTTCAGCTTCCTAACACGAGTTTCACTAAAATCTGTCATGAGAAATTGGGAATCAACAGAATACAGTTTCTATAGCATTAACCTTACACAAATGCAGTATATATAGTAATCACAGTTCAGGTAGATTGAGTTTCATGTGAGATCTCAAAATGTTTATTTTACAGCATCCTTTGCTGTGTTTGTATAACATTTCTGTTAGCTTTCACCAGATGGGAACTTGTAGGAATGTGAAAGGCAGGTGGTTTGCTCAAGGACATGAGAATCTGTCTACAGAGCAGTTAGCTAGTGCCTCACTAGCACTTATGTTAGCTATGCTTTAGTCTCAGTAGTCACCTGGCTTGTGTTGCATTCCCTCTGTGAGCTACTAGCATTCCTTAATACCATGTCTTGCAAGAAAGTTACCCTAAGGAAGTGTAGGGCCCTGAGCAATAAGCACTGAGTGATCTGGCTGCAAAGCCTTTTTTGTCCTGGGATCCTATAGGTGAAAGACAACTACATCAGGTGGTTCTTTGTGCTGAGGAAGGATAACCCTCATTTATATTTTCTCTCTCAGTGAATTGTGATAGGCTTTATCTGTCCTAAGTATGGGAGGTGGGGAAGGCACGAAGGCTTGGTCTTCATCCTTCCTGAGAAGTGATTCCAACATCAAAAATCAAAGTCTTGTTTTGGTGTTGAGAGCTGGCAGTTCTGATCCTGGGTGATATAGCTCTGTCTGAAGCATCTCCAGCCTCAGAGTTTTGCCTGTGGATGGGAAACAGAATTCAGGTTGACGCTAAGAGCTGGTGTTGACTGTAGTGAGGAAAGAAATTCAGAGCTGAGCGTAGCTGAGCCAAGACCTCAGGAGTCTGGATTCTCAAACCTCTGCTTTAATAGCCTGAGATATTTATGGCCTCGATAAAATTAAGGAAGAAAGATGATGAGCATCTTATCATGCAGTTGTCTAAAAATGTTGGGAAATTCTGTTGCTGAGGTTTTCTAAAAGTTTAGAAACTTCTCAGATATCTCCCTCAGCAATAAATGTGTCAAAATGTGAAAATTAAAATATCCCTTTCAGAAATGGGGAAGCATT